GCTAACTTTATAAAACTACTCCATAAAATCTCTCAATGTGGGACAATTACACATTATCATATTTCCTAAAGAAGTTAACAATGAATTAAACCTAAAACTTGTGAGATTCTATTCTAATTAAAGAGGTGAAGAAAAAACTGAACCTTTAGATTTTGATTTGGAGTCTTCTTCTTCTTCTGGTTTAAGAACAGGTTGCTTCTCTTCTTGTGTGAAGTTTACGCTTCTTGTACTGTTAGGATCAATCTGAATGTTAGAGAATGAAGAATTGACATTGTCTTCTTCAACCTCATTCACCATTTTAAGCTTCTCTTGCTTTGCCACATAAACTGGCACCATCATTGTTCTTCTTGGTTTCTAACAAAATGGACAAAACGATCGAAAAAAACAAAGATTTATTACTGAACCCGACAGAGATTTCTGTCCTAAGAACAGCCAAATCATGAGGAAAATCACAGAACAATCTTTCAATTCCTCTATTTTAAAAACCCTATAAGAATCAATTTAAGAGGGCAAAGAACAGAACATGGAAATAATTTGAATCAAAAATATTACCAGAGAGGAATTTATTAAGGGGATAGACGATGGATCGAGAGGAGGAATATCCTTGAGACTGATGATAGATCTTGATGGGTTTTTTTTGCTTATCGTCTTCGTTTTATGATCATCCTCCATCTTTCAATATTCCGATTCTTCGAGAAACGAGAAATTGCATGAAAATTCGATATCGATTACCGACAATAAACAGATAAGGTTTAATACATTTACTCAATTCATTCTCTTAAAGTTTTATCCTTTTTTTTTTGGTCCAAAAGTCAAAAGTTTGGTTTTTTTTTTTTTAACTTCCCAAATTCTTACTTGTTTCGGTTACTATTGAGCTAATCCATTTATGGAAACTTCTGTATTCAGATTTCTCGTGGCAGTGAGTGATCATCAAAACACAGAAATGTGGAATTCGAATACACATTGATATGCAAAAAGATACAAAAAAAAAGGAAAGATTTTTTTTCTTTTACAAAATTCTCAATGATCCGCCGAGGTCTACTGGTAAAAGAGGGATGAGTGAGTGCAAGACATCGGTTATAAGTGGTCTGTAACTTGGCTCAGGCTGGACACACAAGACTGCAACCGCAGCAACCTGTTCGGATCCAATCAAGAAACGAAAAAGAACCAAGTTAAAGACCGAATCTTTGTCGATATTTCGGTAATGGCCGGGAATAGTAAAAATGACCTGATAAAGATGCTTTAAATCCATTGTTCCTTTGATTGCAGGATCCAATATGTTAGGAAGATTAGCTCTGTCACTGAGCTTAGGTACAGCCTGATCAAGAAACAACAAAGATTGTATGTATAAACCAGAGGATTCTTGCTAAAAGAACCGACTTTTTTTTCTCGGGAAAGTTTCTGATTTTGTATGTACCCAAGTGACGATGGATTCTGGTTCAGATGATGGTTTCTCGACTGATTTTTTCCCAAGGAGAAGCTCGAGAAGAATCACCCCGAAAGAGTAAACATCATTCTTGTCTGTAACTTTCCCTGAAAGATGAAACGAAAACTTGTTTAGCGTAAGCGAAAATCGAAACCTGAAAAAACCCCGTAGCTTCTACAATGTGAGACTAATGCCGCGATAGATACACTTATTTACCATCAAGAAGATACTCGGGAGCTCTATTTCCTAGATTTTTGTTCTGAGTCATCAACACCGTGGCAAATCCAAAATCTGATATCTGAAGAGAAAGCAAATATGGCAACAAATCCTTACAACTCTTATGTATACAAGAAGAATTTCACATAATATTAATCTCTCTGGTTTTACCTTTGCGTTGAAATCGGAGTCTAGAAGGATGTTAGACGATTTCAAATCTCTGTGAACTACCGGAGGGTGGCAATGCTCGTGAAGATACTCTAATCCTCTTCATAAATAAGACAACTTTGTAAGCATACAAATCTTCTTGGAGATTGCATAAAACTGCTAAATGTTTTGAAAGTACTATCGATGAATGGATTTTTACCGTGCTATATCAACCGCGATTTTCATCCTAAGCTGCCAGGTTAAACCTGAACCTTGACGAGGCCCTTAACAATAGCCAAAAACAACTAAATCAGATGCCAAAAAATTGAACAAAAGCTACGTAAACATGGAAAATCATTGCCCCTCACCATGCAACTGACTCTCCAAAGATCCATTCTGCATCATCTCGTACACAATACATCTCGTTTGGCGATATACGCAAAACCCCAATAGAGAAATTATGTTCTGATGCCTGATCTTACCCAACCAATCTACCTCATTCTGCATAAAAATATTCAACAAGAAACCGAGTTATGGTTTATCGAATGAGATGGTTCGATACTGTGGAATCAAACCGATCAAACCTCAAACTGTTTTTCAATGTCTGTCTCCCCACCACCATCAAGTTTCTTTACAGTGACTGAGGATTTCTCATCGAGACAAGCTCTGTAAAGACATCCACGACCACCTCGGCTCAACAAATTACTCTCACTAAACTTGTTTGTTCCAGATTCCAGCAACTGATATTCATACACAGGGATAGTTCCTTTCCTCACAGAATCAATCTTGTGTACAATGGGCTTAGTGGATACACTCTTCACAGAATCTTCAGATAACCAAAGTACCAAAAATAAGCCTTAAACTAGCAACAACAAAAACCCCAAGAAATTTACAAATGTAAAGATATAAGAGACAAAGTAGAAATACCGGATTTTCGCTTGATCCCGTTGAAGCTGTTCTTCAGATTTCTGTACCTCCATAGCAAGAGATACACAAGGAACATGACTGTGAAACAGAGGAGTGTTGATGAGACTATAAGAGCAATTAGAATCTTCTTGTTCAAGTCCTCACGAAGCACCACTTTAACAATGGGAGGTCCTGAGAGAAGTAGTAAAAGGTGAAGTTTTTATTATTATCAGAAAGTTATCATTTTTCTACCGGAAACACTATCAAATCAGCTAAATTCGATTCCTTTAGGCATTCTCTAGCTTACCCATTTCGGCAATTTCATGAACTAGTAAGACCCAATCACTCAAATCAGTAGCTAAATTTTGTTATTGCCTTCTCAAATTCTAGGGCTACATTGGGAAAGTTGAACTATTTACCTGGGGATTGAGCTCCCATTCGTGGAGAAGCTTGAGAAATTGGGATTTCGTGGGAAGTAGAAACGAAAACAACGGAAGATTCGTCACCAGAAACTGAGAAGAAGGAGAAGCAAAGAACCCAAATGGGTAGTAGTAGTAAAAACAGCAAACGACGAAGGAGACAACACATTTTTTTTGTTTTGTCTGGTTTCACAAAGCATGCAGAGAAAAGACAAAAAGAAGATAAAAACTATGAAG